TGAAAGGGACGGTAGAGATAATGGGATAGAAAAATGCAAATAACATTGACTGAATGGAAGATGCAAGGCCAGGCGAAACGGGAACGTAGGCAGGGAGAAGTGATGCAATGCATTGCTGGTTTGATAGGGTAAGGGAAGAGATATGAGAAGTAAAGTGTGAAATAACGTCATCAAATACACCACGTGGCAACCTCCGGCTTCCATCATTCCATCGAGGCTGTAATACGTCAATCCAGGTTAGTGCATGTATGGGTGATGGTCGTGGAACGCTTCGGGTTGCTGGTTTACTTAAAGGCATCCCATGCCTCTACTCTTTACTTCATTTCTTTTACCTTCTCCACTTTTCCTTCTTTATTCTTCCTCCTTTCCTATCATTATCTATTCTTACGTCATCGCTTTTAACGCATCACTTTCCAATCTATTCCATAGCGTGGAATTTTTGATAAGTAAGCTACATATACCGTCTCTTTCTAATAAGAAGCCATGTTAGTAGCAGCGGTGCTTCTACTCTTAGTCCTGCTCCCCATGATATTGTGTGTTCTAACATCGGCACAATTGCATTCACGCATGAGCAATGCAGCTGTGCCAAACGCATTCCATGCTCATTTCTCACTACATTCTTTTCTGCAATTTCTTTTGACATTTTTATAATAGACAGTGTGACCATGACTTTGAGGGCAAGGAATGAAGAAAAAATAGGCGATAGAGGAAGAACTCGAATCACTTAACGTGTGTTTATCAGTAATAGTATGGCCTCCCCGTAAGGTGGATAAAATGCAGGACAGAATGAAGCTATAAAGCAACGAAGGAATGCTAAACTGATGGAAAGAATGAAAGCGTGTTCTTGTTCTTTCTGCCAGTACTATACCATCTTCCTCTAATCTTTCAGTATGTACTCAACTCTACGATTTATTTAGCCCTATTTTCATCCTCCTGATTTGTTTCTCTCCGGTGACCAGCGATGGTAGAATGAAAGGCGAGATATATTTTTGAATCATAAAGCCAATTTGAGGTATTTCGTGGTCTTGGCTTCTTGAGTATATCAAAAATGTTACTCAGTGAGTACTAGTTTACTCTCAGTTCTGACTAGCCAAATGCAGAATCTGCAATATTACATAAGTACCGCAACCGTACTGCAGGAAGAACTCCTTTTTTAGAG